TACGGTGTATCTGTTTACAGACTACACCCTCATGCACTCTTCTCTGCCTTTGTTAGAGGTCTGATGTCCAGGGTTGAAGAACACAAGATGTGTGGGCAGGTAAAACGAAGAGTATGATATTGTCCATGGCCCAGGCTATCTGTTTACAGACTACACCCTCATGCACTCTTCTCTGCCTTTGTTAGAGGTCTGATGTCCAGGGTTGAAGAACACAAGATGTGTGGGCAGGTAAAACGAAGAGTATGATATTGTCCATGGCCCAGGCTATCACAGATATGTGGGACTCGTGTCTTTTGAGTTCCTTTGTGGGGTGGGCTTCAGAAAATTGTCCTGAAGACAGATTATGAAGACATTACTGTTTGACCATTTTGTCTTACTCACAACCCACGGTGCAACCCACGGTGCAACCCACGGTGCAGGCTTTCAAAAGTTCCTGATGAATATATTGTCCCTTAAACACAAGGCAGGGAGAAGTTTGGGCATTCCCACAGCCAAAAAACATACTGGTCAAACACTGGCCATGAACTATGATTAGCAAGGGACTACTTATCACAATGACTGCAGTTGTTTATCCATAGAGCTATCTCCCTTGTTCATCATACCAACTTCCACATGGCACTTTCATAAGTGTGTATCATTAATAAGCCAAACATCTTCCTCTTAATTTAACAAGGGGCCTGGGTGGGAGCTGACACATTTGGGGTCGGTATCTCTCTTGATGCGATCGTGGGGAGGCAGCTCTGCAACAGGTGGGTCACTTTAGACGCAGTTATGCAGGATTAGTATCCAAATATAAAAAATGTCCAGGATTTTACTCGATTTTTTATATATCCTGCATTATTCCTTAATGCATCTTTATCGGACGGAATCTGTGGAGGGGCATACCTTCAGATGGGGGCTCTCATCTCAAAACTCTAATTCCTCAGCAAATCATTGGCTGTGCGGCCGGCAGCAAATGACCAATCTGTAGACGGGAGACCAAAAGTTAGGAATGCGGAATGTCCAGGTACAACGCAGCCATTGATGATAACCAAGTTAAAGTTGTAGACTGAAGTACCGAGCCGTATGCGTGGAGCAATAACTTTCTATTCCATGCCGCTAAAGGCGGGGAGGTCGAGAGGAGGCTAGGTCAGTGGTGTCTAGTAGTGGTGACCTGCTAGGCCATTACTAATGGACCAAAACTGTGCATGCCTTGCACGTCCTCCAAAGCGACATCTTGCAGGTAGTGACTGGCAAAGACTGTGTCCGATCGCCAGAAGCACCTCTTCATGATAGCGCATATGGAACAGTTACTGTGTAGCACCATGGTGGAGGCAACCGCCCAGATCTCATGCGGGTTGTTGGAGCTTGGAGGGCCCCATCCCCACAGCCTCCTAGGCCTGGAGAATGATGGCTCGCAGCCAGTGGGTGATTGTGTTGCGGCTGACTTCCGCTTGCGAGGTCGCTGATACCAGTACAAAGGACCAATGGATGTAACAACGCAACTCCCTCACCGGGCACAGGAGCTCTTGTTTGTTTCATCTTCTACACCCACATTGGGAGCTGATTCTTGGCAATAAAGTCCCAGCATAGTCCGAGATGAATGGCTCCGTGCGATCCATGCTAAAAGTGGACTACGTCACGTCGTCCTGGACGTGTAGTTCACTGAAACGGGCGGCTGTAGCGAGTGCAAGGAGGAAGACTGTCTTTTTCGTCAGATGGTAGAACAAGGGTACGCTGAAGTCCTCGACCGCCCAGGCCAGGGGATCCGGTACCGGCGATATGAATGTCGGTATCTAAGTCTATGTTTGGGACACTGCAATAAAGCAGCATGTTGTGGCAGCCTGGAATGGATTGGACCTGGAAATGGATCCCCAGTTGATCCACTAGGTGAAAGAAACATCTGTTTAAGGAGCAAGGGTGAATGAGTCGTTCCTTGGTTCCGGAAACACAAATCAACGGTTATGTTGTCCATCAAAACATCAAATAAGAAAGTGCCAGAATAAGCGCCTCCAGTTCTAGGTTGTTGATGTGCCACTGGTCCTGATCGGCGGTCTACAGCCATGAGGCAACCTGTCCCTCTAGGTGTGCACCCCATCGTTGAAGGGAGGCGTCTACGAATAGGTGTAAGAATATGTGTAATGAGGTCGTGAGTCCTGTCAAGGAGACGCCGCCTAAGACATTCGATTCCACTGTCCACCACCGGAGATGAGGTTTAAGGGGATCTGGGAGGACGATGGAAACTAAGGGATCCTGATACCTGATGTTGGGAGCCAAGAACATCTGGACTGGGCGCAGTTGGAGCCTTCCTCTGTCATCAAGTCCTGTCCAGTGGTTAGGAGGCCCAAGATGACTTGCTACTGACACAGCCTGCTCGGCTGGGACCAAGTGTAGTTGTATGCCCCCACTGGTCCCCGAGTACAGAGAGGAGGCAGAATAAGGGCGTCAACTCTGGCTTCCTGGGATTGATCTTCCAACCCAGCTGGAGAGGAGACAGACGGTGAAGTCCCTGTAACGAAGTGTCCCAATGATTCCAGGAGGCAGTCGTCGATATAGGCCTTGAACTGAATGACCCGGAGTTTGAGGTACGAGGCTATCGGTCTGCTAAGGTTAGTGAATAGACACGGGCTGAAGAAATTCCAAATGGGAGGACCGGCCATTGATAATGGACTCCCATAAAGATGAAGTGGAGGAATTTCTGGTCCTCGGGTTTGATTGGGATCCTCTCATCACGTGCCTGCATCTGTGTAGGCAACATTCAGAGGCCTGTTCGAAACCCAAGGGTGTCTGTCTGGTGGACTGGATAGGTGCCATCTGGTAGGTGAGCGCCAAGCCGGGTGTCATGGTGGTGGCTGCCGCCATGTAGACAGACGTAGTGGTGGTCGTCGGTGTGCTCTGGGCAGAGACGGAGACGACATCATGGTTGTAGTGGAGGCCGGGGAGTCCCTGTTTGAGGTAGCTGACAAAGCAGCCCTCTTACTAAGTGAGTTTCTGCGCCTTCTGTGACCTCTTGTTTTGGGACACATAAGACAACATACAATGACAAACAATTTACTTGCACGGGTAAGACAGGCAAGAAGAATATAGCACATGAACCATGTTCATCCATTGCATGGCCACGTAAAATATTCAAGATGACTTCTTGAAACCACAAGACCCCTGAGATTACCATTGTGTTCTTGAAAAAGAACACAAGCAGGTGTAAAAAATGATATGCACAAGTCATAAACATATAGAATGTACAAAATACAAACTGTATGCACAACACAAGCACAAGAAACATTAACTCAGGACATGAGAGGGTTTCAACAACTTTTATGAGCAGATAAAAAAAACAGATCTTTACTTAGCAAGTGACAAGAGTAACGTGGTGATCTGCGATGTCACTTCCCCTGGTCACGCCATAGCTGTGTGATAGGGTTGGCCTCTCAGCTAGTTGAAACAACTTCTTAAAGCAAGATCTTCACACAAGCTTTTTGGTATATGACATTTGCGTGACCTTGACCTTCAATGTCATACAAGCATACGAGAGAACATTACTTCTTGCAAACTAGGGTCTCCATACCAACAATATTTCCTGAATGAAACTATTTACAAGTCATTGCATAACCATCTATTATCATATATCATAGGTGTTGAGGTAGGTAGTTGGTTAGAGTCAATCTTAACTGATTGTAAAAACCTTTGATATATCATGAATAAATTTGAAATTTCATGAAATCAGGATTTCATAATTTCACCTCCAGCTACTTTGTCTTTACATTCACGTCATCCAAAAGTTGATATGACCGAGACCCCACAATATAGATTAGTTTCATCCAACAAAAATCATTTAGGCTCAATTTATCTTGTACATAAGCATTTTTTATCAACTTCAAAGTCATCCAATCATGATTACATGTGAGAACTACTTTTTGAAGTCATTTCAGGAGTGAAGAACCTTAAACTTACCTTGACAATTGACTCAGCCATGACAAGTATTGAGTTAATTATTGAGTGTCAATCATAAGTGATTTTAAACAGTTTAACTTTCTCTTGAATTAATCTGGATTTTTGTGAAATTTAACCATGTTTCAGAATTTGAACTCAAGTGAACTTGACATAACCCAGAAGTTGATTCAAAAGAGGCCTAGCCTTGAAGATTATTTACACTAAGTTTCATCAAATTCCATTCATAAATACTTTTTTCACACCTTGTTCATACTTAGTGTCCTTCAATGTCACCCAATCATATGTCCGAAAAAATTAGTTGTATTAGGTATAACAGATATTTGTCAAACGTGCCTGTTTGAAAAAAAATAATTGCTGGAGCAGGGCTCCAATTCATGAAAACAAATAAAGCAGCACAAAGTCACCAGGTGAATATAAGGTATGACCCCAAAAGTCTGTAGAAAAAAAATATGCTGTTGTCATTTGATTTCTAAATTTGGAAAATGCATTCACAAGTGTATAGGTCAAATGATGTTAATTTGCATGAATAGTTTAAAATTTATTAACTCTTACCTTTTGGAATTGTAAAAATCATCCTTCAAGTCTGAGAGCTGATGGTTTCCATGTTTTCATAAAATCCCTGTCACTGACATCATGGTACATGTTAAATCTTGCAAGATTGACCAACAAGACTGGTGATGAAAACGGTAGTAAACTGTTGTTCTCTTGTAAAGTTGCTGCACTCATGTTTCGATATCCCTATACAATTTGTACAGCTGACACTGTACGTGCTGGTACAGTACATATATACACTCATTTACTGGTAATTATAACCCTAATGCTCACACAGCCATTTCTGTATAGCTCACACTGTACATACGTCCTGCAAAACAGCTCACACTGTACACTTCAATGTTGCAGAGTTCACACTGGCTTTAAGACATAAAAGTTACTATATATGTAACATTCATTTTATTCTGTGTTCTTCACATAAACCTGGCAAGTGAACTGCAAGTAGAGTGTTTAATACCATTTATGTGCTGAAATGATGAAAGAATTCATTTGCAGATGTATATATATACAGTACATACCATTCTCATTTTTTTGTCTGTGCAGTCGGCAGCCAACTTCTTTGCCAGCCTTGTTACTTCTTCGGATGCCTCAGCAATACCTTTTGCTGTGGCAATCAGGTCCTTTTTGGTTCCCCCTTCCCCTCTGTGGACAAACAAGGAATAACATACAGGCTATTTTGACAAAACACCTGAATTCACAGCACAGGCACAGGCACTCATCAAACTTAATGAAATTTATTTCAGTACACGCACAACTGTCTGACTGCTTTCACACGCTGGCTTTGAATCCATGAAATCTTGAAATTGACAGGTCAAATCAGATTTCTTGTGTCAAAATAGCCAGTTTGTCTGCAGCCTAAAAAGTGGCTGTTCAGTCATACTCCAGTTCTATTGGTAATCACGCTGTACCAGCAGGCTCATTCCCAGTAAATCTACAGGTTAATTTTGAATTGGGTCAGCCCTAACATTTTATGACAATATTTAAAAATGATGTTGTAATAAATATAGTAGTTTTATATGCCTCGCTTATGTTGGTGTTGTCGGCATGCAAGAAATGGTGGAAATAAACAAATAAGTGACAAGAGAAGTAATTTCTTTTATCAAGTCTGAATCGAAGTCTTGACTTTAAAGAATAAAATCCATGGCATTGAGCAACCAGTCTTCATATTCATCAGAATTTGCTATCTAAAGTGAAAGACATGTTTTCTTGTATGAGTTATTGCAAATAAATGGGCAGTGGTCTCTGAACACACAGAAGACGTCTGACATCTGGCCCCTCAGCCCGCCTGCCCACCAGATACAACTGTATGTGTGGTAGCCAAAACTTAGATCATTGTGATCTGGTAAAAGTATATTTTAATAAAATACATATAAATTCATATTATTGTTCAAGTGCCAATCAGCCACAAATGAATTGCCTACTGTTAACATTGACTGACAGAATTTTATGTTATCCCTGTTTATATAAAAAATTATTGGGCAAATACTAGATCTAGCTCTAAAACGTAAACAGTGAATGAATTATAGGTGAAGTTATTTATCTAGTTCTATGACTAGTAAGCTGTCCATTCCACTCCATTCTAAATACATTGATAATGCATACAAAACACATTTTTGCTGAAATGAATTATCTTTATCGAAGCGTAATCATAATTTACTTTCAATGCTTATCAACTTCTTAATTAGAATTACATACTTTGGAAACAAGCATTGCTCAAAACACTTCCCCTTTTTCTTTTCCGCTACTGTCAGACATATTTCGAGAGTTGTGACAACAGGAAATGTTGTTGTGGTTTGAGGGAATGCGGAATGTAAAGGATACAACCAATTGTTTTCAGTTGCCGATGCCTTTGGTTACAATAGTGTCTGTGTGGTGATTCCAATGCAAACCCCTATTACGACAATAGTTACTGCATTTACATTGCATTTGGAACTATTCTTTCGCACTTTGTTGCTAAACACATGATATTGCTTACATTAATTCTTATAAAGCTTATTTTTATTCCAAAGATAGGAGGGCCTGAGTTAGTGTGGATCTTTCTCATAGACAGATGCCGGGAACACAACACGGCATGTCCAGTCAGTTTCTAGTTTTCTCCTTGCTGTCGTTGCTGTACCCAAATTTTACTCCTTGCAAAATTGTACTTTATAGCTTGGAAATTTGAAGAAATGACACTTGGTGCTTTTGTTTGATGAACAAGTAAACCCCCATGCAACACAATACCCTATTTCGTGCCTCCAATATACAGAGAATAATAAAAATCACTTCATTGTCATGTAGGTAAATGCAGTGTAAACTAAAGGAAACAGCGGAATTCTCTCCACTATGATGTCAAAGTTACAGCTAGGCCTCCAGCTGGGTTTTCAATAAAAATACATGCTGGTTGTGGGATAATGGCAGTTGTTTGTTGCTGTTAAGATAACAATGAACTCCCATGGGACTTTTATGGGGGTGTAAATATATACTTTGACTAATTAACATAATAAAAACTGAATTTTCAATAGATTTAATTTGATTCTTGTGGCCACTTCCAAATATCAAAAACAACTGAATGTCAATCAGTAGTTATGATTGTGTATAAATCTATGAATAGCACCTCTGTTTCATCATAGCCAATGTTCTTGCAAGTTGTTAACATCACACTAAAAGAAATATTAAGATTTTACACAGATGTCCTCTTCACTGTTAGCCATCCCAATCAGTCTTTAGTAATACCACATCTCGTTCCAAACATCTAAGTGCATGCACACACTGGGAAAAACATTACTTCTTTCTACTACATGTAGTTGCAGATCTATGGAGGAGGTACGATGGACTACTTCTTGATGTCCCTGATAGAGGTAGTATTCTTAGAATTATACACAATGACTATTGTTTGGTAATTCCTTCGAATACCCTACCTATTACACAGCAAGAATTCACTAGAGGGCATGGTGGAATAGCTGACAGTTTATGAAATATGAAAACATAGAAATGAGAGGGGCACATTTGGATGAAATTATGATCAAAATGTCAATTCACTTCATGGGTTGTAGTACTGGAATCCTAACACTGCCCGAATCATTCAGGGAAGAAAATGGGTGAAAGGCTACTGAGAAACTATAGCCTGGGCCCAGGGTGTATAGACCCTCTAGATCCTGGTAGATATCACGCAGATAGAAATTCAGAAAGGCTTTCTGGGACATTCACTCATAGCTGTAGACAACTTGCTCAAGAAGACAGAATTCCATGACAATAAGGATGTTGATAAGGTGCTGATCTCATAAGCTTTGCAGTTACTTAAAGGGGCACTGATCTAAAGCAATTCCCCGGGTCTGGTTGTTGCCTTTGTCATTGTTTTTTCCCTGTGAGTACCCGGATGATATGCAACGCAACTGAGCGTGACAAGAGACTGGGCTACCGTCTGCAAGGATAGCAAAATAAACTTGGGACAATATTTGTTTAACCCATTTTTGAACACTGACTGGTTAACCAATAAAGATTTCGACAAAAGGCACATGTTAATTAATTTCTTCAGCCTAAACAAACAGACAAAACGAACGGCGGAGATCATCGGATGTTGTCATTTGGAAATACCCCTGATTGTTATAGTTTAAAAAAAAGTATCCATGCAATGAAAGCATTTTCGGATTTCGGATTGTGTCTGGGGTAATTATTCAATCTAAATCCAGGTTTGAAGTGAGGTGAAATGCGTGTTGTGTAATATGCATGTGGCAGTCCAGCAAGAGATGAATGATCAGTTGATTTACTTTTTTTTGTAAATCAGTGGATCGTTCGTAGTCATCAAAGGATTAAGAGAAAATACATTGATTGATTATTCACTGTTTTCTTGCACGGTGGATATCTCAAAAGTGAGTGTTTACATGTCTAGGTTTACTGAAACAAAGGGAATACACTCATATCATGGCGTGAAGTGCCGATGTAAAAACAACATACTTTGTTCAAAGGGTTAACCGATAATACATTGATTCACTGCTCATTGTTATCTAACTCAATGGATTTTTTTAGGAACCATGGACATTATGAAAATAGTTGTCACGTGGGCTTTCTCAGCCGAACTTTGAGACTTGACACCTATGTGAAACACCTGAAACAATCCAAGTGATTAGTTGAGAAACGAACAGAGGTTATAATATCCCGAAACGATATATATATTTTAAAATATTTGATTGTTACAAAGACACGTGACATCCAATATGTTTCTTTGTACAGCTGCAGACGTTTGGGATATTGTTCCTTTGTGTGGATATTCACGGATACATTCCTCGAACAAGGAAGCTGCCTAAAATTATACACATAAATTTGGTAGGTTGTAATTATGATATTCGCATTTTGTTTTCCTTCATTTGCAGTAGCATTGGACAGATTCATTCTTGTTCCTCTATGTCTTGGTTGGGAAATTCTTCGATGCGCGATAGACGTTGTTTTCACAAGTCTTTTCCTATGTATGTTACAGGCAATTTGTGAAATGTGATTCTCTCAGGCAATTTATAAAATGTGTAAATATTTCAGTCATTTTGACTGAAAAATCTGTCCATTTCTTTAACAGATTGACCAAAATTGATTAAGACGATCAATAGGGCCTAAAAACATCACAATAGATTATTATGTAGGATTAGAAGCCAAACAGTATAGAAATGTACTTTTCATCTTAACATTTTCAGTCTCTTGGTGCTGATATTAAACATAACAAATTTTGGAATTTGTTGTCATAATAATACAAATGGACATATTTTTCAGTCAATTTGTAAAATAACTGAATATTCAGGCATTTAATAAATTTCCTAAGTGAAAATTTTGCACATTTTGATTGTAAAAATATAAACACGATAAAATAAGCAATGCAAAAAAAATATTTACTTTGTGTTGCAAGTCAAAATAGTGTAAACGTAAATCTCACAATTACCAAGCAAGTGACTTATCAAAACTTTGTCACCATTACCGATGCTACCCACAAAGATACCTACATTTGCTTATTATTTCCAAAACTGTATTTCATTTTGTTGATCAATGTGACCGTACTCCCTTATACTATCCATAAAAGTGACAAATGCGCTTACATATTGCGCAGCAGAGGTTGCTAACTAGCTTTTTGCTATATCATCCAGGTACTCATGGGAAAAAACAATAACAAACGCAACAATTGCTTTAGATCAGTGCCCCTTTAAGATTTGCTGGGAGTGTTCAGCATGACTGTAGCTTTCTGAGATAGTGTTTTTCAAAGCCTTTGTGATATCCTGATCAACAGTAGGCTTGCAGGAGATGAAAAATTGTTTCCTGTGGCGACTATGTTCTTGTGAAGCTGTGAGATAGTGTTACAGTGCTTACACTGGAAACAGTAGTGTGTCAGGGTGGTACATAGTTCCTCTTATATTATGGCAGGGATCGTGTATTGTCGACCTCTCGCCGTACACTAATTCTTGGCAATGGACACTAGTAAATATCTCAGTGTGGGTTTTGAGAATTCAGGACGTCAAATCATTCTTCAACTTCATCTTTTATTCTAATTATCAGTTTCATATTCTAACAGATTCTTGTTCTAGTTGAAGGGTGCCGTTGCCACAAAATACTAAGGTAGCACTGTCGGCTTGATTGACTGCAAAATAATGCAGAAACGTCTATGAATATACTAATATTTAGAC